TATAATATATATAATATATATTTATTTATGTATTTATATGTATATCAATTTATCATATATACTACATGTCCACCCCACGATTCTTACTTTAAATAGCATCGACAGCTAAACGAGTCACGGGATCAATACCCGTTCAATCAATATGCGTTATTTTAATATAGTAACCATATCATTTTTGTTTGATTGCATTGTACGCAATGTGTGTCGGCTTGTGTGTCTGTATGTGTTTGTGTCACTTTTTTTTTTATTGTGCAGTTTTCTCGTGAATACTCGTTAGTCTCTAGGTATTTTATTTTGTTTATTTATTTATTTTATTCTTTTTTTTTATTTTTTTTTCAGTTTTTTATAGAAAATCCCTCGTGCTCGTTCTTCGCGGGAGCACGCGTTTTACTTCTTTTTTTTTTTTACTTTTTTTTGTTTCAACACCGAGAGAGAGATAGAAATCATGGGGCGGACAACATTTAATTTCATTTCCTAACGAATTTCTCGTGTTATTATTCATTTACATCACGCACATTTTTTTCCACTTTTTTTTTTACGTGTTTTCTTCATCCATTTTTTTTTTTTGGTGTGTTTCTTTAAATACGCGTTATTTCATCCATTCATTCCTGTATAATTAGCGCTTATTCGAATGTTACTGTGTGTTCAACGATCTCCCCTTTCCGCTTTTTCTTACGTTTGCATCGTATAGTAATTCATCATTTTTTTTTCTTCTTAAGTCTTCAGCTAAACATACTTCTAACAGACACGCAACAATGAATTCATTAAGAATTAGGGAGAAAACGCGTTTCTGAGGGATGGGGGGACGTACTTATTGATGAGTTGGTAACTCTTCTCTCTCTCTCTCTCTCTCACAATTTCTCCCTTCTCATCCATTACTATGTTAATACATTTATGCACGAACAATTAAGTGATCCGTCGTCCTTCACTTCATCGCTAGGATCAACGAGAATAAATTCTCCTCCTTCTCCTACTCACTTCATTCACCTAATTTCTTCGATAAGTTTTCAAATATAATTATAACTCCAATAGAATGTTCGCCGTTCTCCAAGTTTCAAACATCATTCCATCCACTTGGTCACATTCTCTAACCGGAAGTAACATTTGTAGTCATCGCGACAAACGAACGTTACGCCTTCGGAATAATTTGAATTCTAGCGAACAAGACGATGAAGACTACAAAAAAAAAAGAAAAAAAAAGAAGAGTTTCACTTCTGACAACATCGACGATCGATTACCGCACACATATATTTTTTTTTCTTTTTGTCATAGAAATTACTTCCTACAGAATACGTGGGCGAGAACCATCCACTCTGTTCGTCTCATCATCTCTTCTTGCTTATTACGAATAGGATAGTTTGGTGCGCTCGAGGCACAAGTAGCTTCTTTCTCTTGTCTTGCACGTTTCTCTGTTTTTTTTTTCCTTTTTTCTCTCGGAGTGAATCTATCGAAATGATCTTACGTGAGAAAAATGACGAGAAAGAACGTGTGTATATCTGCACACGATATCCTCTAAACGTAAGATCAATTTGATCCAGAGTGTGTGTCCCTATTAAAGCAATCTCGATATCCGACCAAGTACGAAGAAATAACGAAACAGTTTTGAGAGAAGTGTAGAAAGGCACGATCCTCAATCGGGAAACGTTTGGAACTATGATACACAACGGTTTACTCGAGACGTATTACATAGAAGACGATGCAACACCTTCTGTTGCATAGATTTCTCAATTCGAACCGGTTATACAGATAGAAAGATTCAAGTGAAATCCCGTAACTGTCCGGAGAGGAAACATATTTTGCTTTTTAAGATAGCCTTTCACTGGTAATTGTGGACATGCGAAAATATCGAAAGAACGTATATTACGTCGTGGCAAATCGCAATAATACAACGGTCTGACGTAAGCGATCAATTCTACTTAACTAGCGAAGATATTGAAGAGTAGAAAAAAATGCTGACAGAAAAATAATAACGTTCGTATTAGCGTTGGAAATAAATTAAAGACAAATAAGACGCTTCCTCTTTCTCTCTCTCTTTCCTTTGCACGGTAAAAACAATTCTGAGAAATAAAAATAGCACCTTTGGTACACGTGTAAAAATGCGATCGTTATTTATCCTAGCGAAAATCGTAATCTCAAGCGATTGAACTTGTTAAAAACTTTCCGTGTATTCTTTCCGTGCGTCATCGATTGAATAATTCCGACAATTTTGTGAACGATTAACCACTATGCATATTATGCACGCAGATGCATATGTACGTCGTTCGACGGTGTTTGACCTTCGCATTGCATTAAGCAGACTTTTGAAAAGTTCGTTTCCTCTCACAGTGCATGGTATTCAAATTACTATGTACGTTTGCGCGAGACCACGATCTGAATTACAATGGATTTTCGTCGTCGAGACGTTTTTTTCTTCTCCGTTATTTTATCATGAAATGATGAAACATCATGATGTTTCTCACTCTCACTCTCACTCTCTCTCTCTCTCTCTCTCTCTCTTTCTGAACATAAATGACTACGAAGTTACGAAAGACGAACATTTCTATTATTCAGAGAAACAACCACAATTCGAGGTACAGCGTTACAAATGTTCCGTTCGTTTCGGCGTCTGTACCGACCGTGGTCGTTTAAATAAATACTTTACTCTAGATTTTTTTTTTTTCTTCAATAGATTAATCTAATTTCTCCTGAAGATAGCTCCATACTTCTTTCTTTTTTTTTTCTTTAACAATGATTACAGCAGCAGGTAATCGCTAATCACAATAATAATGACAATATTAATAATAACGACGAATATATAGCGACGATGAAGATGATTATGATAGTGACAATGACACGATGATCTATGATGATTTATGACGATGATCATGACAATATAATAATGATAATAATATAATATAATATAACTACATCATCCGCTTCAATAAAATCTGACTGTGTAAAGACAATTTCTTTTTATCGAATAACAGTGTAACGATAAGACGATCACAATAAATGACTCTGTATCTCTTAACATAAACGCGAACATTGGTAGCGTATTTTACCTACGAGCAGACTCCCGTTCCGTGACTCAGTTTTTTCTTTAAAGAACACGCAATGAATTTCAAAACTTCAATAATTTTCCGTTTCCAATACGAAGGATTCTAATGATGCAACCAGATACACCAATGATATCACATTAAGTGCAACACGTTACATAATTTACTTTATGCATCATTCTCTCCCTTTGTTCTTTCACGTTACGATGATTTCTAACTTCTCTTGATCACTCGTCTACTTTGACTTTTGCTTCCTTTTCTGTCTCTCTCTCCCCCTAAGGCAATGGATCGTTATCGCGAAGAAATAAGAAACAGAGAACAGTTTGGCTTACAGTTTTGAAAAGCTGTTACAGCATTCGAGAATGAATTCACGTTATCGTTAATTAAAAAAATCACAATCGTTAATAATTCGGGTTTTTCACATTCGAGCAATAATTCAATTTTCTTCTTCTTTCTTTTTCTTTTTCTCAATGTAAATGCGATATTTCCACGACGATCGACGAAATCAAGAACGCAAATATGTACCTCCGATATACATCAAACGCGATGATTTACCGACTCACAGCTTCGTCAAAGTATCGATACGTCATTGATTTGTGTCCGCACGAACCTCTCGTTAAATTGTTATTTACAAATAATAATTACTTGCACCGCTTACGCTTCCCTTTGTCTTGTTTCTTTTTTTTTTAAACATGTACATATTCACATGCCTGGTACAATATTGTACGTACAATAAAAGAAAAAAAAACTTGTGCGATCGGCGTATGTATACAATATATATATATATATGCATATAATGTATGTATGATATATAATCGGTACAATCGTGGCCACGAAAAAATTCTTCAGTTAATTCGGTATCCGTGTTTTTTTTCTTTTTCTTTTTTCTCGTCATCTCACGCTTGCGTACGCGCACACACAACAGTCGATTATTTTATTAATGACATTTACGATTCTTCACTTTTACACATTCAACAAGTAAGTTATACATATAATGTAGCAAAGTGTGTGTTTCGTCATCTTCACTCTATTTTTTCCGCTTTTTTCTGTTTTTCTTTTTTATCTTTTCTCTCCTTTCTACTTTGCGTGTACGTTCTTATTGCATCGCGGCCGACGAATACAGACAAAATCCATCGATTCACACACACACGCACACACACACAGATCAAACCCTTTCGAATCCAACTTCTATCAAATCGCCTGTATAAATTTCTCTCTTTTTCTCCAATCGAAATCATTCAATCATTCTCTCGCTTCCGTCATTTTTCTTCTTTTGTTTCTCTTTTCGTTTCCTGTTGTCCGACGCCGCTGGATAAAATCACTCGAGAAATCAAAGACGAACCCCGCTCGTTTTGTCTGTCGAAAAAGCGAGAAAAAAAGAAAAAATGAGAAGAAAAAAACAACAAAAAAAAAAAATACGTAACGAAAAATAAAACGTACACAGAATACTCGTAACAATACTAATTTACACAATACTCGTTCATACGCTCTGGCATACGCGAAAAAAAAAACGATGGTTCACATCTCTTTCTTTTTTCTTCTTCTTCTTTTGTGCTGGGTGAACATTAAAGTTTCACGGAAGTTTCATCGACAGGTAATATACTAATGTAATAAGTATAAGTAATGTGCACATGTTAAGAGTGTGTGTGTGTGTGTGATCAGTTAGAAAAATTGAGAAACAATTCAGAAATTGTTCTTTGAAACCACAAAAATTCTCCCACATTTTTTCCTCGTTATTTCAGCGCAAAATATTTCACAAACACACAGAGAAGACTTCAAGAGAATCTCTCTGTGGTTCTCCAGTCGTTCATCCGAGATCAGTTTTGTTCGAATAGAAGAGTGCGGTCGCGATGTCTACGAATTAGAAGAAAAATAGATCAGTCTATTCTAACTTGAGAAATTCTCTAGAAAGATAAGAAGTCTTCGAGCTTCTTCTCGTGGATTGTACGATACAAAAGTTGTTCTCGTATCAAAGATGTGACTTCTAAGAAAGATGAAACGCATGTGTGAAACATCGTTTTAAAAATAGAAGATAAAGAAAATTTTGTTTCTTTCTCTCTTCTCTCGTATCAGCTCGATATCCTTTCGAGATTTTCGAGCGAACACAACGAGACTGTCGTAAGACTCTTCAGCGAGGGTGTACATATGTATGTATACTCGAGGACAAGTCGTAACGGAGTACTTAAAACACTCCATCTCCTACGAATTACACTAGAGCGATCCTGAATATACCTAATGATGGGGATGATATTATTTTCTCAGAGAGCACAATAGATTTTATATCAAAACTGGTATTCAACACTACGTCGGACATTGTAAGAAAGAGAGCCAATCGACGGATAGAGGACCAACCACCCAATCGACAACTATATCCCTCTCGTTCATAGTGAACATATATGTACATAGAAATGATTATCCATAATTACCGACAACGTTACACACCTCTGTCTAAACCCTGAGAATTGGGAATTTCCTCCTATTGATAAAAAACGAGATAGCATGGAATCTGGTTTCGAACAAATCATTCCTAAAGGTACTTCGTTCAAAAACTTTCAGAAAGTCGCTGGGAGAATATCTTTTGTTACAATTCGAACGAGATAGGTAACAGAATTGTGCTCGATTTCTGAGAGTTTCGAAGGTAGAAGATAAAGAAGATAACTAGTGAAATTAGAAGAAAATATACGATAGCCTTAGTTGGAGAATACAGGACAGCCTTGAATCCTGATCACGTTAGCAACGGATGTATTATACTCTCGTAAACAGGCTCTCTTTCATTTCTTCCTCTCATCCTTGGCTCTCGCTCTCTTACATCTGTCGATCAGTTATTTTTTTTTTGTTTTTTTTTTTACAGTAAAAATAACACCTCGTAAAGATATAAATATCGTTATAAACTATGGCTTGTCAGTTATGCAATTAATTACGATAGATATACATATATGTGTATGCACACGGGCCCATACATTGATATTACATGAAAGTACATTTACGAGGATGCGGGCTCGTCAGCATTTACGGTGTAACCGTTATGCAATGTCCGGAATTTCTATCCTCATCGTCTTCAACAGCCATAGTGGTTCAAACACGATCAGACGAAACATCATCGATAGAGTAGACCAAACCGGAAAAAAAAGAAAAAAAAAGAAAGATTATCCATGCCTTTGGATAAAATAAGTCCTTTGAATAAAGGACACGAAAAGATGAACGATACATACATAGATCGTTGAAGAAGCGTATACAAAAAATTGTAGATCTATCTATTTTTTTGTTATTTTTTTCTCTCAATATTCCGTGCACACTTTTCTCTCCCCGACTTTACTCGGTTCACACAATTCAATACGACCGTTTGCCACAGAAAAACAGAAAGAAGAGTAAACGTGACTGATTTTATTATAAAGAATAGTGAAAAAAAAATGTTTTCGATCGAGATAGAATAATAAGGATAGTAAGACCGGATGCCCCAATACACATTTACGCCGTGTTACACATAAACCTTCCAAACGTTGGCTTATTACTCGTATCCTTACTTTATTTAGTTTAATTTGACGTTAAACTCCCGTTTACCTATCATAGAATTAGCATGTTACACCGATCAGTATATCCGCACTTGATCCAGTGGTACTAGTGGTATGTATGTACGCGAGCGAATATTCTTTATCTATAGGAAGAATGAACAAGAGCGCATTGCGTTTCAGATGAATTCTCATTTTTTTTTTCGCCTTTTCTCTCTCCATTTTTCCGGAATTTTTCCCACTAACACGTGTGTGATAATTCATCGGTTTTACGTATTTATAATAGAATGTACGTGTACGCACGTGCGAGATATAGCCGCAATGCGTGTAACTTCCGAAGCGGTTCGCACACGCGTACAAACATCCCTTGTTCCTCCGGATCTGACGACGACGACGACGACGACGATGGATGATGATGATGAGAATGACGAAAGCAAAAAAAAAAAAAGAAAAAGAAAAATGAGAGAAAAAACAGAAAGAGTACAAGTGAAGATCGAACGAAAATGACGCAGGAGACTTACCATATACAGGGTGTCCAAATAGTAAAGATACGTGAGATAAGAAATTCGCACATCGCACTTTGGTTCAGGAGGAATTGTTATCCCTAAGAGAAGTTGGAATCCGGATGACAAAACTGATCTATCTTGGATGCACCGACTTCCGAGATTTCGTATTACACGTTACAACACCATCCGGGACATAGAAGCGTTTGTTTTTTTACATTCGAGAAAAAAAGAAAAACACGAGACTGTTGACGCGGGGACTTGGCGAAGTCGAATAAATAAGCAACGTATTGTATATATATATATACCTCTTGCGTGTTAATAATGTTTTACACATTGACGTACGTTTGATTGTAAAGTTGGAGAAGCCTAAACACTATAGTCAAAAGTGTACGTGTAAAACGCGAATGTTCTTCATTTTTTGTTTTTGTTTGTTTGTTTGTTTGTTTCTTTTCATTTTATCTTCCAACAGTGGCACATTTTGTATACTCCATTTTTTGCGTACGTTCTCAGGATCGTTACACATGTAGACACTAGCTACGATGATAATATGTGTGCCCTAAGTACACGAATTAAAGTAGTTCAATGGAAAAAATCAGTAAAAACGATATCGGTGAGGAATCTCGATTCATTAGGAAACGCACATAAAAACATGAATCCGTGGACGGTCACCCTGTACATATTTGATACATAGTTATATAATTAAAACGCTCGTCGAAATACTGTAAAATCTCACAAAATACTCTTCTTGTAAAAAGGTGCGGCTTGAGACTCCTACGGGTCGGGCCAATGCGATTAAAATGTCGAGATTCAGAAGTCGAGAAACGAAATTTAAATTCACCAATAGGAGAAAAATTACCTAAGTCTTAGGAAACGTTCTTAATACTAAAATCTTGAACGAGATATTAATAAACGCGACGAGTGTGCCGGACGAAAAGGAGCCGTTACACGATCGTCGTGACGTTACTTTGTAACATCGGCCCACATTTTTTTGTTTTTTTTAAAACATTCGCTCTTTCTTCCATTCTCTCCCTCTCTCTCGCTCACATCTCTCACGCTCTCCCTCTCTTTCACTTATCAACGAATTGATGCGTAATAAGAATAAAATTAACGAGGTAATAGTTAAAATTGCACGTGTTCTTTTCTAGCAACGAATATTATATACTTTTCTTCCCAACCCTTCTCTCCTCAATCGCGACACGTTCAGCACACTCTCGACGAAACCTAAAAACAGGAGTCGAGTGATCGAAAATGCCCGAGATATCTTTTTTGTTTTTTTTTTGTTTCTTTTTCCTTTTGCTTCTTGCTTTTTGTTACTTTTCCTCTTTTTCATCTTCTTCCCTCCTCTTCTACTACTTCTTCTTCTTCTTCCTCCTCCTCTTCTTAATCTTTTTCTTCCTCTACTTCTGCCGAAACGATCGTTTAAGAATTAGAATGCGCGCAAGGGCATAATTTTTTTTTTTTGTACACCAATGACATAGTAAGCGATTCTGTGCAAAAAGAGAACTAATTCTCTCCGTTGCGAGACAGAAGATTTTAGGTAACCTCCAACCGCTGCGTATCAACATTTCTCCATGAGCTCGCTCTTTCGTCGAAAGAAGAACGATCGACTCGCAGTCATCATCAATCAGGTGTATATGCGTACACGCGGATTCCTTCAACGCGTTACTTGTTTCTGAATAATTTAAACTGGCTTCAGATACGCGAAGAAGAGCTTTCACGCACCAATATATGTATAGTATATATATATGTGTGTGTATATATATATATATATATTGTCGTACATCGCGATACTATTCAGATCGCCCACGGTACGACACGCTTGACTCGCGTTAGCTCAAGGTGGAGCACTACCGTAATTTTTATACGAATAGATGACAGGACATGTCGGCAGGAACGAAGTCACAAGAGCTCATACTGGCGCAAGTGCATCCGTTGAATGATGTCCCGACAATCGTTAAACACTCTCTTGATGTTCTCCGTATCGACGGCGCATGTAAAGTGCGGATAACAATAGTGCTTGCCGTCTCCACTCGCTGTGCTTATACGCTGGAAAAAACAATCGAATCGAGTAATTTGCTAATATTCCCAAACGATGACAAATCGTATTTCATCCATCGATAGAGAAGAAATTCTTCACTTACAAGAAATTCATCTCTAATGAAGTACTTGGCCCTTATAACGTCAGGAGGTTCCGTAGGGTCCGTCACTACACCGGCTTCAACCGGTGTCTGATAGCGCGCAAACTCTGGAAAATAGTCTTCTAATTTGTGCTTCCCTGCTTTTATCTTTTCCGCCAATAGATCCTGTTTGTTTAAAAATAAGATTACGGAAATTGTGCGGAGCCACCTAGAAGGAAAGAACGGTCTGTGTAATGCCAGATTTCTGTTTCGAAGACGTCCTTATATCGGCGTGTGTGCGCAAAGAACAAAAAGCAAAAAAATTCAAGAAGAAAGAAGAATTTGTCCAACCGGGAAAATCGAATTCGTACCGATTGTTCCAAATGCTCTTGAAGAGATCCAGACTCTCTCTGAGTCTCAACTTCGTCGGATCCTCCCTGAGTACCATGTTATAACTACTACATGCTGTTACAAATATGATTGCCGTTACATCGTTAAAGCACTGTATCCACTTTCTCCTCTCGTCACGTTGACCACCAACGTCGAACATACTGTAAACAAAAAAAAGAAGGAAAAAGAACAGAATAATCGTATGTTATTGGTATACACGTGGAAACTTTACGTTGATATTTCATGTAACACCAGCGCAACGGGGTTAAATCTCGACAAAACCAAACAAAAAAAATCTCTACGTAATCGAACGATTAATAATTCTCATCTTCGAGATGACGATACATAATAATACGACGACCGTAAGAGTTTTTTACTACGGTGCTGTGTGTGTGTGTGTGACGAAACATATAAAACTCAGTTGGTCCAGTGAACGTGTGTTAACGGCAAAACACAGAAATCGAAGCCCAGAAGAAGGGAGCAAAAGGGGGGGGCCACCGTTACACCACGTCGAGGTAAAATAAAAAAAAAGGGGAAATATTATAAAGTTGCGGAGGCGTTAACGCGGCTAACGGATTTCGCTGCGAGTATAGTAAGTCTATAGCTGTAAAATACACGGCGGGATGAGATGCGCGTCGCTGCTTCGCGTTATATTTACCGTCGGCCGATGTTACTGTAATACGTCGTCTATATATAGTTAGGCGACACTGGAGTAAAAGCGAGCGGCTAACGTATCGCGGACTTACTGAAAGTTTACTTTGTCGACTTGAAACCGCGTTTCGAAGATACCGGACGTGAGGACTCGACACCTGAGGATGTCCTGCAACAACTCAACGAAATTTCTCATAAATATCCACATTTCTTTCTTTTTTTTTTTCTTCGTAATTAATTCAGGTAAACGAGATATCATTGTCGACAAATTACCTGTTCTGTGGGGGTGTAATCCGGTTGTTTAACAATGGCTACCTTATCTAGAAAACTGGAACAGAAAACAGAATGAAACACTGATTACTACATACTGGCGTGTCGAGGAGAACATAAAGGAGAATGTAAATTTTTATGGAACAATCGATCGGATTTTATCCCCTCGATTCGACAATGCCTTAACGAGCTACGCCTTGATCAACGTCGAACTGCTTCTGATCGATGTTGGCCATCCGCGATAACAATCATCATGACCGCATTGTTATCGTGAGAGTCACTTCATTCGCTCGCGGGGACACGTCTTCGTTTAGCCGTGGATCGTCGAATTTTTGAAACACGCCGCAAACAGGAAACCTGACCCGATAATCCGCGCAGAGAAAGAAAAAAGAAAAAAATACGTGACCGCGATTCTCTCCCAACATCATCCTTAAAAAAGAAAAAGAAAAAAGAATTCCACCGTCAATTTTTGAACACGAACTTTTTTACTCTGCCAATTTGCGACATCCGGAGGTCGGTATTAACAGATCGCCAATCGAATAAGTTATCATTCCCCAAATCGTTTCATCAAACCGCTGCGAAAAAGGTAATGAAAAAAGGTTTCCCAAAGTCTCGGTCCAGATGGAAGCTGCAGTATCTCGAGACGATAGTACCAAAAGTGGTGTTGTGATAACACACACGACGAAAAGCGGAAGTAGCTACTGGGAAAAGGGTGGGACGTCGTCGACAGAATACCGAAGGTAGAAAAGAGAGAGAAAAAATTCTCTCCTTTTCTCCTACTTCTCTCTCTATTTCTCCCTTATTCCCTCCCTCTCTCTCTCTCTGGAAAGACCCTCCCCGGCCGGTGTCTAGGGTGGATAGAGCACACGAAGAGGGAAAATCGATCCTCGCCGGTGTCCTATCCTAACCCCAACTCTCGCCCTCTCGGCCTCGCCGGGTATGCCTCTCTGGCACCCAGTTTCCAATCCGGGTCATGGGTCACTGCCACCGCTGCTCGCCATCAATCGTACGTGCAGACTTAGCTGCACGTATGTACATATACCGGTGCGATGTGCAGTTGTATATGTGTCGAACATACAGGGGTGGGTCTCTCTCGATCTCTCTCTCTCTTCTCGCTCTCCTCTCTCTTTCTCTTTGCTTTGACACCACACCATGCAACCTTCCACAGCCGGTTGACGGTGATAATATATTTACTGACACCTCTCTCCTCTCCGCCCCTCTCTGTAGAACCTCGGTTTTTTTTTAGTGGAAATACTTTTGGAAATTTTTTAAGTTACCATCGTTGCAACGCACTGTAGCTTTGATCGGTCAATTAATTTCGAACGTGGATCTAACAATAAATCAGCCTCACTTTAGATGATCTACCATGCTTCGATGCATTTTTTTATTTTTATACAGAAAATGAATTTTGGCGTGAAGTGATCCAAGTAATGTTAACGCTCACATTTTTCTCAATTTGATATGCCAAATAAGTTCAACAGTGTTTTCTTTTTTTAATTATTTCTTAAGCGTATAGAGATAAGTTTCCCATTGGAAAGAATAGCGCAATATGGAGAGTGAAAGAAAATAATTTAAAAAAAGTTACACTTATTGGACGATTAGTCGTGCACGTGTGAGACACGGGTACGGACGTTAAGGGGTTATAATACGAGCGTTGAGCGGCTAGTGAGAGGGAGCAGGCGTAAGTAACCAGAAATTGGCTGCTCGAGTAAATTTGAGGAACCACAAATCGACGAAATTGGTTTTCACGGTGGCAAAGTGGTGGTCCTAGGGAGGACAGGATAGAAGCCGTAAGATACACGGTTATGTACGTGTGTGGCTTTGGTCTGTATAGGCTTGTGAGAAAGGTAGGTCATGAAATTGGCGCGCTCGCACAGAAATGAGGTTATCGACCTCCGAAGAATTGAAAGAGGAAGGAGGTCGTGACCCACTGGCTACAGGCAGAACGATTTTCTGGTTATCGCGCCGGTCTAACTCTACCGACCTTGGGCTCCGTTGTAACAATGTTATTTTCAACGATACAACCACGCGTGACACTCCTTCTTTTCTCATCCTCGAGTGGCGCAGTCGTCGCCTTCTCCAAAATTCATCGACCCGCTATATATACTCCATCTATCTTTCTCTGGCGTTAATTTCAATTGTTGTATGCGAACGGTGTTCGTTTTATAAAATGGCGAAAAGTGTCATCGTTGGACACATTCGAGAAGACAAATGTTCGCGGATTTTGAACGAGGTCAGAATGGCTGCAAAACAATGCTTAGCAATCGTTGCATAAGTAACGAAGTAGACCAAAACGAACACGTGTGGAGTATTCATTAAATACTTCTTCTTTTTTCTTTTCTTTTTTTTCGTCGATTTTGTCACCTTTCGATACCATCGAACGATAACTGATTCGTAATCGCAAATATTTGAGGAATATGGCGGTTCTAGTTGCTTTCGATTGCAAGCGAGAGTAAATTCTCGATGTTAAACAGTCGATTAGAGAGAAAGATTTGGTGAAAGAATGAAAACTAACCTCAAATTTCGACGAATCTTCCATGACTTTCTAAACGGATCCTATCGATCATCTTCGTCGATCTATATTTAGACACAGGCGTCGAAAGTTATCAACGAGGATAAAAAAATACTCGTTTTTATCTGGCGTGACGATGCCACGGAAGAAGATTGTTATCGACCTAAACATTCATGAACTATGTGTGCAGCATCAGTGATCCCATCACACAGACCGGTGTCTATATATAGCGACACGTGTTTCCTTTTTTAAGGTGTGCAGAGGTATTCCATCGTGTAATTGGCACGTTACTCGATTCTCCCCATGTACAGAGCCTGTTTTCTCTCTCCTTTTTTTATTTAAATTTCTTTTCCCTCACTTCTCTTTGTTTGTCGATTTCAACATGAGGACTAGTCTTGCCTTAACATCCTACTTCGTGTTTTTTTCTTCTCTAAACACCCGTCTTAGTTCTCTAGAATCTTTTTATTCTCAGGTTAACTCACCAAAGTGCATGTCTTATTATTCAGTAAGTTAGGTTAGGTTAGGTTACGTTCAGCCTCTATCGTTGCTAGTCATAATCCCTTTGTAGGATTACCGACGAAAGAGGATCGAGGTAAGAACGAAGAAAACAAAACAGAAAGAAAAAAAAAATGATCAAAAGCAAAACAAGAAAGAGAAAATTCTAAAAATTCACACAAACGAGGTGCAGAAACGTATAACCGGATCTTCCGTATTTTTCACCGAAACGAACACTATTCGCTGTGATCTTGTGGCGCGATCTCGCCGTGAAACGCGAAACACTTTTGGCACACGCGGCCTGAATCTCGATCATACACGTTCAACTATCCGTCATATGGTCATCGGATTAATAAACGTTTTAATTTCCATTGATGACCATTGACAATGTAACGACGTATTGATAATTACGTGAGGATCAGGCATAAGCTTTTGTCGTCGAATACAAAGCTAGAGTTCCGTCTAATTAAAATGTTCGACGAATTGATAGACAGGCAAACCAAGTCACATGTTCTGGTTTGTTGGCCTAGCGGATAAGTTTCGCGTTTACACTCGAGATTCACGCCCCTTTGCCTCGCGATCCGGTGCAACAACCTGTGCCTCGCCTATATAATTTTCAAAGGGACACGTTTCAAGCGACTTGCTGGACCGTCCCGGCCTGGTCCCGCAGTGGACCAGTTTTTCGCTCATTTATATAAATTTATCGGGTCCAGGGATGGTTCTCTCGGAGTTACATGCTGGAAAGGGGACCGGATGAAAATAATGCTGCATCGTGTAGACCAGCTAGTCGAGCCATTTTCGAGCTTTTTACATTTTCAGCTTCGTCCAATCACTTTTCGTTAACCTTATTATATAACACCGCGCCAATTTGAAAATTACATATCCATTTATTTTACGTTTCATTTAATTTCTTTATTACAGAATAATCTTTTTCTAACAATTATTAATTCTTGATAAAAACTTCTGTTTCATTTTAATGAAAACGACAAAAAAGGTCAAATTACAGAGGGTTAACCTATAAATCAGTTTGTGCTCGCAAATTTTTCGCCAAACATAACGTGTTCCCTTTTTTCACGCGAAAAAGTACTCGACCCATGGTTTAACCATACGGTGAGAAAAATAATTTCGCGTGAATGTCAGTGTGAACAGCGTGAAAAAAGTTTCAAGAGACTGGGCCAATTCGTCGAGAACCCCTGGATAAACGAGTGGCCCCTATTAAAGCGATTACCTCGTTAAGGCATTGTCTCCATTGGCATTAAATCGGTGTCACAGGCCCATGAATATACACGGATATACCATATGTATCGCGGTCATGAGAACGCTTCCCAAATTTATCCAACCGCGTTTTCCACGCGACTTACAAATCGGATAACAAATACATAGTGTACATAAATAGAAAAAAAAATATATGTACACGGATAGGGAACGAATCCGCAGGCAAATCCAGCGCGCTTCGCGGTCCCATTATCGTCGCATAAACGTTATCGTACGTATTTCTTATCGTAATATCGCGATATCAGCCCCGAGGCGGATTAGAATAGCCGTGGTTATAGCGGCTCAAAAGCATACGGGTGTCTAACGGTGAAGAAGGTAGGCTATAAACTTTGCCTTCTTATTTTTATCAACGTTAACAACCTAGTCTATCGCTTTGTCTATTGTATTAACACATTGTATAAGAACAAGAAGACTCTCGTTTTATTACATTATCAATTTTTACTCTTGACTTTAATTAAGAACCTCTACCACCTTCCTCGACGCATTCTAATATTATAGTAATTCTAAAGAAAAATGAGTAGAATAACTTACTATTTGGCGCAGTCAATTAGTTGGTACTCGTTACTCCTCTCGAAGCTCTGCTGTACGCCTCGATCCTTCCAAAGGGTCTCGACGATCACGTAGAACTCCTGAAGAAGAAGAAAGCAACGTAGATGGTTTAGCCAAGGTGAAAACACACAGGCGGTGGAAAAAGAAAAATAAGCGTTTAAAAATAAACGATCGCATATTTGGTGGTTGGGTGATTTGCAAATAAGTTCACAGATTTGATAGCAGTTCCCATCGCGTGCCTCGTTAATTATCTAAAAAAACGTGCGGCTCTGACGAAACGGAAAATTTGGCCCCGAACACCGCCACTATCGTGACAACAGAATGTCCCACGTCACCGTTTGGACCCATCCTCATGTGAGAGGCTTTCGAGTCACGTCCCGTTATCGACGGAAACATTTTCATTTTTCATTCTCTTATTTATTTTATACGGCCCATACACACACGCACTCTCTCTCTCTCTCTCTCTCTCTCTCTCTCTCTCTCTCTCCGCGCTCTTGTAAAAATAGATAAGTATTATATAGGCCAGGTGTATCGAGCCAAGATAAATATTCGAATAAAACGTATGCCGATAGAAGTGAAATAGAAAATCGAGGGAAACTAGATAACTTCGAAAATGGAGTGCAATTTAATTTCTCCAGATAGCCGATGGACATTGGAGAGCTTTAACTCGAAAATTGACCAGGTGTACGCTTGTTGCACGGCGTCAAAGCGAAACCTCCACGTTGAAAGCCCTTCCTTCCTTCCTTCCTTCCAACTTCCACCAACTGGCTAGATTTTTGTTTCGCCAGGGACACCGGTATCGTGAGTACCTTACCAAACATCTCTCAAAGGAAACTACTACACACACGGGCAAACTTTCGCAACTTTCAAGTCGACTGGACAAACTACACACAAAATCTCTCGGTTTTTCGAACACACACACTAGCAACGATTCGCAAGCAGAAAATAAACCGTGTGTGTAAATTAATCTGAACGCGTAATAACCGCGCGTCTCGTGAACAGTACAGAGCCCGGTGAAATTCGGTGTAGAATTCGAACCTCGAAATAAACTTCCGTATATCCTGCGCGAGCCACATTCAGATATGCAAAAAGCGAAAATGACAGTGACAAATTGGACGCGGCTCGTCGAAACGAGGTAAAAGGTAGCCTCTCAGGCTTGCTCACTTCCTCCTTGGTAATAAAAACGCCCAGTTATTTCCAAGGATAAATGGACAAATGTTCTCTCCTTCGAACGTAACGAATCCAAATATTCCGTTCTATAATTTCTACCGGTACAAATTTAAACACCTCCGTTCGACACACTCACCGGACAACTATATCTTTGCCATACTCGTAGATGTTTCTCATCCGGTCCAAGATATTTTCGAGTATCTAAAACAAGCTCGTTCGAGGAGGAAACGAAAAAATGGAGAAACGACGACGACGAAGAAGGAGATCGCGACGAAACGGTTGAAAATGATCATCGCCGGGACAAAACTCTGTCCAGTTTAATTCGATTAATTCGGGTGCATCGTTCTCTAACGGCCGACGCCTGTCGAATCGCGTGCAAACGGATAAGAGAGACGAGCGGACGGACGATTCGCGTGTTACACGCCTAAAGGAGTACATATGTACGTAGAAAGGCGTGCACGTAGCAGCAACAACTGCCAGTGAATGACGCAAAACACACGGATTATTTTGTCGCGACGACTTTATTTCGAGACGCGCCGCGAGATCGTTTCGCCGGTTCGAAACGTTTCGCGGCTCTCCCTCTCTCTCCCTCAGTTTCTCGTGAAATCTTCTTGGCAAGCGAAAAATCATTATTCTCTCGAAGACGACAGAAGGATTCTGTAACAGAGCCCTAGTCAGCTGGTTGAAGAAAATGTCAATGCCTCTCTTCGACGTCTAAAATATCGCCCTTCTTACTCTCGACGAATTTAATGGAATTAATTACCCAGAGAGGGATTAAATCTCGGGAATGAATTTGTGCGTCAGATCTGAGAGAACGCTTGTGAACTTAACTCTCTGATTCACAAACATATCAGAAAATAATCAGAGTTCAGAGACGTGTCCGATTAGTAGGAAATCGATCGCCGGCTCTCGTTCAACGTTTCCTTGTTTGCTTTGCGAAGGAATTATCGGTTCTCGTTCGACGGGTAGAGACGCCGTTGATAATTCCTCCGTGTCATCGATCCAAACCGGTGTTACGTAACCCGTAATTCGACAGAATCGTGAAAGCTCGTGGATAGAATCGTATAGAACGACAACAGATCGCCGGTGTATGTATCTCGAAGGGATAAATCGCGGTAATCGGGTTCAGCGCACGTTCGAAAGAGGCGCGGCAACAAAATTCACTGTCCTGAATACAAAATGACTAAACGGGTTAAATAACGTGTACCGTGGTAGCTCGGTCTACTCCCTCGATCGTTCGCTCGCTCGCTCGTGTCGTAATATTTTAATGACACACCACCCTCCCCTATTTTACCTAACTGGTTTCCCCATACAATTCATCATACGCGCCTGCCTTATGAAATTACGCTCTGTTGAAAATTCTCTTACGTCTCGAGCAGCCCAGATACTTTCGGCTTCTCCAACGTAATGCTCTCTCGCCTTGATTATCACGCTAATAAAATTCAATCTTCGTGCTTGCTCGCGAGATGTAGCACGAGGCATACTTACATACGTATATCGCAGGCGAAGGAACGATTAATTCGTTTAATATCACAGAAGAAGAATGTAACAGACGTGGCGGAAGAGAGAGAGAGAGAAAATAGGAAGATTTTGAACGCAGTTTAAAAATTTGACAAAAAATCTCATCTATCGACGAAACATCGACGAAGGAAAGTTTGGAAAATTTTGTCAGGATTAAACGACACGGGAGATTTTCTAGAGATCGTCGTCGATTTGAAGGGTATATCGCGAGAACACTTTCACCGTGACAAAAGACCGAATAATTGGAGGCGCGGAGAGTTCGATCGACAAGAAGATAACGGGCCGAGCGCATTTCCACCGCACACCGAGGAGTTTCTCCCTGTGCAACGATACAATCGAATAGAACGTGTGTTGCGTATGTACGTATGTATATACGAGGCGAGGAATGGCGCAGCACATCATAGCCAGAACCGCCTATATAGCGCACCAACATGTGCGATGGCTGTGTAAACATTGTAAACACCGATCGTGGCACACAGTGGCTCTCACGTACCACAGTACCTCACCTCCTGCCCTGGGCATCTTGTATCGTAAACTCTAATAAAAAGAGAAAAAAGAAAGAAACCTCCCGACGTTACACACACGAATCTCGTTCGAATCTTCCGTTCTTTTTTTTTTTTTTGTTTATACACGTCTCCGTTAAAAGAAACGTACTACAATCGAACGCAATTGCATAATTAGTCGGATACACGTTGGTAGAATTGCATCGAACCGGCTTACAACACGAATACGATAAATCATTGAAAGTTGCGCACCGACAAAGTCTTACCCATTGGGCCGCCAAACCGGTCTCTTTCATTCAGCCAAGCGTGCGTGTAGCGGCGAACCGTCGCGGCCAGACACGAGCACATTTTTCACGGTATTACATTAAGAAGACACAGCACGCGGAACAAATAGGCTGGCTGTGACTCACCGGGGGATAATCGAAGTCCGGGGAGGACGAGACGTCCAGGATATAATCGACTTTGCTCTGATTCGCTGGGTCCTCCAAAGCAACGGGTGGCGTTAGCGTGCTCATCGCGCTGGTTATCGTCTGAAAAATAGAAAAAAAGGGCACAACGATAGATAAAAAGGACCTGTTCTCCACGTGCGTACACACCGTGTAGATCGAGCAATTTTCTACGATTACCCTAACGATCACTTTTTTTTCTCAACCAAGAAAATCAAACATGCGTACCTATGTATCGTACATATATGATCTTCTTTGCGAACGTAATTATGGAAATTTTTACGTGTGTCTACTTTTGTGCGATGTCGAACGGCATTCGTAATCCTTAAATTTCTACCGAGTTTCACTGGATACAGGGAAACGACGATTTTTCATTCAGCGTGAAAGTGTCTTTAACTCTGTTTTTTCCTCGTTTTTGTGCTCTCCGTGAACGTAATTATGGAAATTTCTGTCTGTATCTACTTTTCCACGATACAACGAAGGTAATGTGTCATTCATAATGCTTGAACGCCGCGGGGCAACTATGTCTATTATGTGTTTCACTCGTTACACGGAAGCGATGACTTTTCTTTCACCGTGGAAAGTCTCTTTAACTCTTTTTCCATTCGGTGCGCGTTCGTTTTTTTCTTCCGTTTTTTTTGTCCGCCAGTTCGTACGGACACGCAATTATGGAAATTCTGCCTGCGTATCTCTTTGTCTCTACTTTTCCAACGATAGCGAAGGTAAATGTGTCATTCATAATCCTTAAATGCCGCGGGGCAGCCATGTCTATTATGTTTCACCCGACATACGGAAGCGATCACAAGGTTGCACGTCGATATGCGTATCCAAACACGGCCTCGAACGACAAATTGATGACAGTGCTGCTGCTGGCTGCTCTCCTCTGACACGATGGCGTTAAACCGTCGTGAATTTACGGGCGTATCACGTAACGTTAATGACGGGACGCCCGTCGAAAGAACGTGTGCGTGTGCGTGAAACGCAATTTCAACGATAGAGAAAGAGAAAAAAGAACCACGGAGAATTTTTTTATTTTATTTCATTTTATTTCACTTTTTCTCCATGTCGATTCTTTATCTGTCTCTACGGAGAACCGAAAATGTCACGCGGTCTCGAAGTGTTCACGGCATTGGCTAATGTTGGGGATAAGCGTATATCGATTCGCCGATAAATCAACAGCTTCCAAGAATATCTCGAGTTATTCGATTTTATGTTTCGCGAATATTACTCCGAAAGGATATTTCTAGAGCAGAAAATCTTGACGTTTTCAACCCTTTAACCACGAATCACGTGTACGTTCGTTAAATTTCAATAAATTCGTATACATCTGTAACAATTGAAAGAGACTGTTAACGTATAAAATATAAAATTCTACAGATAACATCGTTATCTAACTCGTTAATTTTCCTCGTTCTTCCTCTTTGAGACACGCCGCAGTTAAAGAGTTCCAAATGAATTGTCTTCACCGCGGAGAACACGTAATACAGAGAGAACACATTGCTGCTCTATCTTTGCCTCTGTCTCGAAGAATGGCCCGCTGATCATAAGATCCACGTGCCGGAATGAAAATACGCATGAGGAGAGAAGTAGGGAAAATCGAAGGAGAAGAATCAGGCGGTAGGAAAAAGAAGAATATCCTAGAAGACAATTCTTACCAGTATCGCGTCTCTGATGTTCTTCTTGATATCCTCGATCTTTTGCCGTTTCTCCCTGCACAGAAAAATGAGAAAAACAAACGGTGTACATCTTATCGAGAGAATCGGCGTTGAAAAGAAGAAAGAAATATCAAAAAACCAAAAAAAAAAAAAAAAATTCAATATCGTTTAAACCAAGGAGACGAATATCAAAGGCGATTTTCCCGAGTCAGCGGTGTTCCCAGAGTCATTCAGATAATTTTAGATCGTACGGCATCACGCTAGTTTTCGTTATAACGATCTCGTTCGGTCTGGAGACACTGGAAATTTCGCGAATCTCTAACACACACACAACAACGATCGATCAGCCTCTGGTTTTGTCAACTAACGGAAAAAACGATTTTTCGCGTGTGTCTGTACGTGTCGTAAATACGCGGTATCTAATTTCACGGCGATACCTGTGCTCAAGCTTCTGTCGTCAATCCAAACGAATTTTCATCTATCGTAAACGGTGCGTGTACGCATCGTGTTCGTGTGTACACAACATACGTAACATTACAAGAATGACGACAGTCGCGATCTAATACAGGTTCTCATTTTTATCACGTTGTTATTCCGGTCAGGTTTCTTTCCAGTCATAAACGACACCGTATTTACTTGTTTGCGCCTAATACAAGCTTACTACGCTACTTGAAAATTCGGCTACTTTATATCCACCACCTCCTCCTCCCTCGACACCCCTTTTCAAGCGGTTCCCTTCGATTTTCGTCTCGGTTCGTGTGACGGCGGATTAAAAGGCTCGCGCTCTGTTACACGCGATATTCGAATACAAGAACGCTAAAAATAATCGGACAGACCGCCTACACCGACGATTTTATCGCTTAGTAGGATTACACGTTGAAAGCTCCGTCTTCCATGCCTGTTCGCGAAATCCTACCCGCTGCAAAATGTAAATATATAACTTATACTTTTCTCCTTTTACTTGCTGCCGTTGTATTAGCTCGCGATCTTATCGTACACGCGTTCCACTTACAAATTAGGCGAACGATTCGAGAAAATTAGACGAGGGAAGAAAGTTCCGAAAGGTAGAACGAAACTGGTGGAAAAGCGAAAAGAAGGAAAAACGGGGAATAAAAATAGCGCGATTCTACGAGGTATGTTTCCATAAGTAAACAAGATCTGCATCGAACGGCGTACCTAATGCTTCTTAGAATCGTCGTGACCTGGCAAAATGGAATCAGGTGATTTTCCAAATGGCGTAGAAATAATTCTGCGACGCGATGTAAATTGGGGAAAAT